CTGGGAAACTATGAGCATCCTAGACCAAGCTAAATCCAAAAATGCTAGGGAATTCCTGGATGCTGGGCATTCAGACAAAACATCCATCGATAGACATATAGAGAAAAAATGCATTTACACAACATTAAAAAAAGACAGAAAATGTAAGAAGGAAATAAATAGACCAGAACACATCCTCTCCAGCAACCAACACCCAGATAAGCAGGGATTAACACCAAACAGTCAAGCAGAAAACAATACCCTAATTAAGGAACTGCCAAGGAGAAAACCGCACCCCCACCAACACTGGCAAGGCAAGCTACCGTATATAAACAGGGAGCAAACCCCACATTCACAAGCACTGATGATGTTACTTAGTTAGGTAATGAAATGTCTGCAAGCAAACAAAACCAAGCTCAGAGAGCACCAAGGACTCCATAGTTCAACCCTGAGCTACATCTATTCTCTTCTACTGGAGTAACTGAATAACTCACATGGCATTCTTAAAATCTAGAAATAGAAGTCTACTTGTTTCCCTCCAGATGTTTCAGTGTACAACATTGTTTGAGGACAAAAGCTTAATGCAGCTTTCCTCCATCTAGGTGTCCATCTGGGATTTCAACTCCCAGAATTCCATAACTAGCATGGACATTGCTGAGAAGTCTGGGAATTGAACTCCACATATATACTAGACAGTGTTAAGGTTGGGGGATGTTGACTTAACTCAGTAAAATAACTTACATTAAGATTTTTTTTTTAATGGTTTCCCCTTGGAAATTTGCTGCTAAGATTTAGGAACAGTTTCTACCACTTTCTGCTCACAACCTGTTGCTGCAACAGTCAATTTAATGCTTTACCCCAAAAAAGCCTATTATTACACAAAACAATTTTCAGTTCATATCATTGTGAAAAAAATGCTAGAAAATGTGTGGGCAATTTCTCAATAGCACACAGAAATCACAGTTGCATGAGGTTGAGAAAATTTCTTGTGGTTTGCATGCTTACTTCTCAATTCATTTTAGCTTTTCAGAGTATTTCAAACCAAAAGTCAACTGCCCTAAATGACAGCTGCGGAGATTGATAGTGATCTCTGCAGCTGTCTTTTGGTTTTTATGCTGACTTTTGCACAGCTGTTTAAAGTCTTACCAACCTGTCTTCTTCCCACTTGTGTGGAAAATATATAATTCTGGAAAACTTGGCACAGAATATATTAAGACTGCAGCATAAAAGCAATGCAGATAAATTCAAATTGCTTTATTGGAATAATTGACTTCACTTATGGGATTGCAATTTTTGATATATTAAATAGGTGCACCTGCACCTTAAAAATTAAATTCCTACATCTGTTCTCTTACAAATGCTATAAGAAAAAATGGTATGTGAGACAAACATGTATGTATCCAATAATTCACAGCGAGATATGTCATTCCTGTATTTAAACACAGCTCACTTACATTAAGAGAGGGAGTGATACTTTGCATGCTTGAGGGACAGGACCAGCTGCATATAAAAGGCCTTACTCTGTATTTTTACTGAATCATATTATTTGGCAGTGTTATCAAAGTAGCCCTTAGAAATCAGAGAGAAATGCCAACTCAGACTAATTTAATTCTCTTTGCTGCCCAAAGTCACTTGTTAAGATGGGCAGCCATATAAATTGAATTAAATAAATACATAAATAAATGGCTGCTCTCACTCAAATCATGATAAACAACAATAATGCAGGCACTCACCATCATACTGAAAATTCTCACATCATAAGCTATACAGGTAGTCCTCGACTTACAATCACAATTGGGACCAGAACGTTCATCACTAAGTGATGTGGTTGTTAAGTGAGTTGTGCCCAAATTTTATGACCTTTTTTGCCATGGTTGTTAAGCAAATCACCATGGTCGTTAAGCAAATCCAGCTTCCCCCATTGACTTTGCTTGTTGGAAGCCCCCTGGAAAGGTCACAAATGGTGATCACGTGACCCCAGGACGCTGCAACCATTGTAAATAGATGCCAGTTGCCAAATGCCCTAATTTTGGTCACAAGACCGCGGGGATGGTTGTAAATGTGAGTACTAGTCATAAGTCACTTTTTTCAGCGCTGTCATAATTTTGAATAGTCATTAAATGGTTGTAAGTCAAGGACTAACTGTAATGGGATTTGCTTGTATTTATGGCTTTGTGAATTGAAAAAAGCAAACTACACCAAAAATGAAAAAAATATTTAGTTGAATGTATTCATACACGATGTTGAGGGTTGGCTATGTAATGATCACCAGATCCCCAAAAGGTATCCCTGACTTTCCCAAATTTATATACATGTGTGTTGTAATGTTTGTGTTTTTCTTTCTTTCATGGCTCTGAGGTTACTTCATTAGAGCAGCAATGGCACCCCAAAAGTAGGCTGACCCCTATACTGAGCCACAGACAAATATATCATGGTCTAGTATGGTATATAAAAGGGGGATGGGTTGGGAAGAGTAAATTGTCAAGTTTGGATGTAAAGGGTGACTGGCTTTGCTCATGTATAAAGTTGGAGGTTCACTCCCTAGTCCATCAGCAAGGTACAGGGAAAAGTTGACAGAACAGCATGTAAGGTCAGCCAATTTCATGGTCACCAAATAAACATGAAAAAGTTTTTTCAGCACAGAATGGAAGAATGGGAACAGCCAAAGGCTGAAACAACTCCTGTCTCTTCTCCACTTCAAATTTCATCTCCTTATTTGGTCAAACAATATTATGAACACTTACCACCAACCTATAAATTTTTGAAACTGGACATCTTGCTTTTATATGCAATAGTAAATTAACATACATTCAGAACTTGCAATTTATTTCATTTATTTAACTACATTTGTATAACCAGATTGAGAATGGGGTGGGGTTTGGGGGAAGGGGTTGGCAACAGTAGACTAAAGGCAGCTGGCAGAGATGTAGTGTTTCCTCTGCTTTAGGGATAAGAAAGAATTGCAGTGCTATAGAGGGTGTTAGGTAAGAACAAAATATTAGAAAACATCTGTTTTGAGTGCTTTATTTTGCCAGTTTCAAATCAATTAATGCTAGCAAACGCAGTGTGTTGAGGATTTTGTTTTACTGTGAAATTGGATTGGAAAAATGGCAGGGAACACTACCTCAGAGGAGTCTAAAACAGTTTGACACTGGGAACTTTTTGGAGTCTAAAAATATTTCTTCCAAATCATTCACTACTCTTCTAATCTCTAAAACATTTTGGAAATAAGCATTACTAAAAGTGTCATGCCAACAGCCTTTGGCTTTTGTACTATCCTTTGACTTATTACTGAAAGCATTTCATGCAGAAAGGTTCTCTCTTTGGTGCTCCTAATAGAAGGTCACCAAAATTCAACCATTTCCTAGATGACAC